GTCGGACGCTTAACCGACTGTGCCACCCAGGCGCCCCCCCCATAAACAGTTTTTAAAACAGAGATGTTTTCCTTGAACTCTGATTGAAACATTGAAAAAAAAAATTTATTTTCATTCCAGTATAGTTAACATACAGTGTTGTATTAGTTTCAGCTGTAGAGTATAGTGATTCCACAGTTCTATCCGTTACTCAGTGCTAGGCATCTAAGCGTACCCTCAATCCCCATCCCGTTTGTCACCACCCCCCCCGCCCCCCCGCTGACCATCAGTTTGTCCTCTGTCATTAGGAATCTGTGCTTTGGTTTGTCTTTTTTTCTTTGTTCGTTTTGTTTCTTAAATTCCATGTACGAGTGAAATCAAACGGCATTTGTTTTTCTCTGACTTGTTTCACTTAGCGTTATATATGCTCTCTAGGTCCACCCATGTCATCGCAAATGGCAAGATTTCATTCTTTTTATGGCTAATATTCCATTGCATATGTGTATATCTATGTATGTATGTACGTACATGCACATAAATATATATACACGTATATATAAACACCACATCAGCCGATGGACATTTGGGTTTCTTCTGTGCCTTGATTATTATAAATAATCCCGCACTTAACATAGGGATGCGTATTCCTTCAAGTTAGCATTTTCATACTCTTTGGATAAATACCCAGTAGTGGAATTACTGGATCATATGGTAATTCTATTTTTAATTTTTTGAGGCACTTCCAGACTGTTCTGGAGACCAGTGTGCATTCCCGCCAGCAGTGCACGAGGGTTCCCTTTTCTCCACATCCTCCCCGACACTTGTTGTTTCCTGCGTTTTTTACTTTAGCCCTTCTGACAGGTGTGAGGCGACAGCCCACTGTGGTTTTGATTTGCATGTCCCTGATGAGTGATTTCGAGCATCTTTTTATGGGTCTGTTGGCCATCTGGACGTCTTCTTTGGAGACATCTGTTTGTATATTCTGTGCATTTTTTAACTGGATTATTTGGTTTTTTGAGTGTTGAGTTATGTCAGTTCTTTATATATTTTGGCCACTAACCTGTTACTGGATATCTTCTCCCGTTCTGTAGGTCGCCTTTTAGTTTTGGTGCCTGTTTCCCTTGCTGTTGTAGAAGCTTTTTATTTTGATGTAGTCCCAGGGGTTTCCTTTTGCTTTTGTTTCCCTTGCCTCGGGAGACACATCTGGAAAAGTGTTGCTGTGGCCAGTGTCAGAGACATTACGGCCTGTGCTCTTTTCTAGATGTTTATGGCTTCAGGTCTCACGTTTAGGCCTTTCATCCATTTTGAGTTCATTTTTGTGTGTGGTGTGGGAAGGTCATCCAGTTTCATTCTTTTGCATGTTGCTGTCCAGATTGCCCAGCACCCTTTGTTGAAGAGACTGTCTCTTTCCCATTGGATATTCTCTCCTGCTTTGTTGAAGATTAGTTGAGCCTATAATTGTGGGTTTATTTGTGGGCCTTCTCTTCCGGTCCGTTGATCTGTGCATGTCTCCTTTGGTGCCATCGCCATACGGTTCTGATCACCACAGCTCCGTAGTATGTCTTGGAATCTGGGATTATGGTACCTGCAGCTTACTTTTCCTTTTTCAAGGTTGCTCTGGCTGTTTGGTGGGGGGGTTTGTGGTTCCCGACACAGTTTACGATTGTTTGCTCTAGCTCGGTGAAAAATGCTGGGGTATTTTGATAGGATTGCATTGAATGTGCAGTTCACACGTTCCCGACTGCTTCGGGCTGTGTAGACGTTTCGACAGTGCTTGTTCCTGGGGCTCGTGAGGAAGGTCTTCCCATTTGTGACCTCTCCAATTTCTCTCATCCATGGTTTGTGGTTTCCAGAGTGCAGGTCTTTCAATGTGGGGAACACTTTTATTTCCATTTTATAGGTCAGAGGATCTGGGCCCTAGAATTAACGTGTCCAGATCATCCCTCAAATAAGTGGGGGGCCTCGCCTCCGCTGCCTGACCTCACACGCCCAAGAGAAGACAGAAGAAGTGACTGGTCTGCTGGAGGTCTGGAATGTTCTCGTCCTCTGTGCTGTGTGGTGCTCGTGGGTGTGCCTGGCTGTCAGGCACCCGTTAGCGGCTGAAGGAAGACAGAGGTTGTGCCAGACTTGACTGCCCTTGAGGAATTCACAGTCCAGTGAAGGAGGAAGGAGAAATGGAGGTGACAGTGTGAAACCAGCTCTTAAAAATGGTGATTCTTGTACTTTACAAATGGAAACCAGTGGCTGGTATAAAAAAGATGGAAAGTCCGAGTCCAGAAAGACTTCCTAATCCAGAGGCCATCACAATCAATCGCTTTTATTAAAAAACATTATGTTATGGGGCGCCTGGGTGGCGCAGTCGGTTAAGCGGCCGACTTCAGCCAGGTCACGATCTCGCGAGGTCTCGCGTGATCTCGCGTGAGTTCGAGCCCCGCGTCGGCCTCTGGGCTGATGGCTCGGAGCCTGGAGCCTGTTTCCGATTCTGTGTCTCCCTCTCTCTCTGCCCCTTCCCCGTTCCTGCTCTGTCTCTCTCTGTCCCAAAAATAAATAAATGTTGAGAAAACTATAGACCAATATCCTCTATGAAGATAGACAGAAAAATCATCAACAACATATTAAGAAACCCAATCCAGGGGCGCCTGGGTGGCGCAGTCGGTTGAGCGTCCGACTTCAGCCAGGGCACGATCTCGCGAGGTCTCGCGTGATCTCGCGTGAGTTCGAGCCCCGCGTCGGGCTCTGTGCTGATGGCTCGGAGCCTGGAGCCTGTTTCCGATTCTGTGTCTCCCTCTCTCTCTGCCCCTCCCCCGTTCATGCTCTGTCTCTCTCTGTCCCAAAAATAAATAAAAACGTTGAAAAAAAAAAAAATTTAAAAAACATTATGTTAGGGGAGGAAACCTCTCCAAGCCCCCAGCCTCATTTCAGTAGAGGGGATCTCGCTGCTTGGTGCCTTTAAAGCCCAACGTAACATCCACGCACAAGTTCGAGGAACCTTTGACCGGGTTGGTCTTCAAAACTTGTTTTTGGCAAAAAAGCTCATCGTTAACAACCTGGCCTTTGTTTCCCCGACAGGTGTCAGAAATGGCCGAAGACGGGAGTGAGGAGATCATGTTCATCTGTAAGTAGTCCGTGGCCTGTCCGTGGGTGCAGTGGGCCGTCTGGACAAAGCCACGTCCACGTTTCGTTTCCACAGTACAGAAAAGCTGCCGCTGTTTGAGTGGACATGACTTTGCTCGCTTTACGGAACACAGTTGATTGCGTGGGAAACACCCCCGCAGGGGTGTGTGGTTTTAAAAGGATCATCTTTCTCAGAACTTTGGGCCAAGGGCACTTTGCGGGGGGCGGCACTTGATTCAGAAAAGGAAGCCAGGGATTCGTGACACGTGAGGTTTCTAGTAACCAGGTTACGTTGGTGAATTTTCACTTATTCTCACTCCTTGGTAGATCTTGTTCTTTGTCACCAGAGAGGTGACCGCACACTTTGAAATGTGCCACAGAGCAAGGCCTTTTCCTTGGGGGCCACATCCTGAGTTTGCACCGTGTTCACATTGGGGGGGGGACGAAGCGCTGTAAGTCGCCCCCCTCGGGCAGGGGGCCTGCGATGTCCCCCAGGTGTCCCCTGTCGGCTCCCTGTCCCCCTGACACTCAGTGTCTGTTGCAGGGTGTGAGGACTGTAGCCAGTACCACGACTCCGAATGTCCTGAGCTGGGCCCCGTGGTCATGGTCAAAGACTCCTTTGTGTTAAGCAGGGCAAGGTGAGTGCTACCTCGGGCTGTTTTTACAGCGCTTCCTGTCAGGGTTGTCTGAACGCCGTCTCTGCATCTGCAGAAAGGAGAGCTCTTGGAGGGTTCCCGGACCCAAGTCCTGCGTGGGGGTCCCCGCACAGGACCAGGCAGTTCTCGGGCACCAGCGGGGGTTCAGCTCTGACACCTGCTGGGAGGAGACAGCAGGGGGCCCCACAGGCTCAGGGCTCAGCCCCACAGGGCCGCCCCGCCCCCCCTCTCCAGACGCCAGCCGCGAGCCCCAGGCTGTCCTCTGTCCTTGTGACAACCACGCTGCAGACTGGAGGCTCCAGCGGCCTCCTCCTCGGAGGCTTCTACATCGTTAGCGTGGCGCACAGAACTCTGGGAAACCCTTACCGTTTCCGGGTTATTAAAGGATGTGATAAGTGGGGTGAGTGAACAGCCAGATGAAGAGATGTGCAGGGTGAGGCCCCCGGAGAGGGCCTGGAGCTTCCCCGCCCCCCCAGCCCCGGCACCACTCACCGCGCCCCTCCACCTGTTCACCCACCCAGGCGTGTTTCGAAGGCTTCCGAGTGAATGTCTTGTTCTAGTTCCGTGCTCCCAGGGGCCAAGCTGGCCGAGACACAGCGTGGTGGCCGAGGAAGAGCCCACGGGCCGAGGCTGCAGGTTTCCCCGCGGCCCGAATCTCGGTCTGCCGTCTGCCGATGCCCGCCGTGGGCAGGGTGGGCTGCGGTGGGGCCCGGGCGGTGAGGGCAGGTAACGAGGCGAAGCCATCAGCGCTTCTGGAAGAACGCTGGCAGGTGGAGGGAGGAGGCCCAGTGGCTCTGCTGTTCCACGTTTCCGCGTGGGGGCCGTGTCGCCCGGGGGGGCCGGAGCAAGGGCTCTGAGGGACCGCCCGTTCACAGCCCGGGTCTGCAGCTGGTTGAACTGGGACAAGGCCTTCTCTTTTCCGTACCGCGGTGGCCTCATCTGCAGAGTGGACAGAGTAACGGTACCCGCTGCAGACGTGTGGTCGGGATTGTAGGTACAGTGCCTGGCACACGGAGGTGCCATTATTATCTCGCTGCTGTTTCTACAAGCTTCCCAACTGGTTTTCCTGGCATCTTTATTTACTTTTTCTCACTGTGACTTAGCTTCTCAAAACAGAGGACTGGTTTTGCCTGAAGTGGGGACCCTGCCGGCTCTCCCCGAAAACTTGCACTGGTGGCCTGTTGCCCGTAAAACTCTGGCAGCAACTACCGGTCCCACAGTGGGTGCCCTCTGTGGGGGCCTCCTGCCCTGCAGCCCGGCCTTCTGTGTGGTCCTGCGAGGGGGCTGCTCTCCAAGCGCCCTGGTGTCTGACCCGCTCCTGGATGTGAGTCGGGCTTACCCAGGCCTTGGCTTGTGCTGGGGTCCCAGCCCACAGGCCTTCCTCTTCCCGCACCTCATTCTTGACACTCTCAGTTTAGGCGAAAACATCCTCAGTGCCACTGGCCCGTTCAACCTAATGGAAACGTTTTTCTGGTCCTTGGGATGCCGTGGCACTTTTCCTTTTCTCGTGGTGTCTCAGCATGGAGCTCCCCCGCCCTGCCGCCGGGCTGTGGGGGGTGGGGGCAGTGAGAGCTGGTGCCCTTCGTCTCCGTTGGCCCATCACAGCCCAGCTGGTGTCGTAGTCGTAGTGGCTTGTCTCTCAGGTGGGGATTTCAAACACCTCCCTTAGTGAATGCGCCCCCCTACCCCCCGTGTGTGCTCTGGGTGGGTCTTGCCAGGGCTCTGGGGTTGCTCTCCAATGGCTTAGGCTTTTAAAGAGTCGGGCGGCCTTCCCCGCCTCTGTCCATGGTAGGCTTTTTATCAGCCTCGAGGACGGTATTCCAGCGAGAGCAAGCTTTGGGCCCTCTTGACCGCCTGTCCCCGGTGCGAGTGGCTGTCCTCAGCCGGCAGCGCTCCGGGACTGAGGGCCTCCTGTTCCATTTCCAGATCATCCCTTCCCTCCAACCTGGAGATCCGGCGACTAGAGGACGGGGCTGAGGGAGTGTTTGCCGTAACTCAGCTCGTCAAGCGAACGCAGTTTGGTCCATTTGAGTCGAGGAGAGTTGCCAAGTGGGAGAAGGAATCTGCTTTTCCGCTGAAGGTAAGGCCGGGGCTGGCGGGGGCTGGGAGCGGGCAGCACCTGCCGGCCGCGTCGGGGGATCCGCGAGTTCAGGGATCGAGAAGTGTCTTCAGACAGCTTTAAAGATCGTTGTCCCGCTTACTTCCAAGACACCGTTTTCTCTTTTCACGTTAGTTTGTTTCATTTTCTTAAAATTTTTTTTTTTTTCAACGTTTATTTATTTTTGGGACAGAGAGAGACAGAGCATGAACGGGGGAGGGGCAGAGAGAGAGGGAGACACAGAATCGGAAACAGGCTCCAGGCTCTGAGCCATCAGCCCAGAGCCCGACGCGGGGCTCGAACTCACCGACCGCAAGATCGTGACCTGGCTGAAGTCGGATGCTTAACCGACTGCGCCACCCAGGTGCCCCAGTTTGTTTCATTTTCAAAGGTTTGTTTTCGAAGGGGAGAAGGGGCGGGGAGAGAGGGAGGGAGAAGGCCCAGCAGGCTCCACGCCACCGTCAGCACAGAGCCCAACGCGGGGCTCAAACCCATGAACCGTGAGATAGATCGTCACCTGAGCTGAAGGCGGACGCTTAACCAACTGAGCCACCCAGGCGCCCCTATTTTAGTTTGTTTTTACATCCTAAAAGCATCAGAGTTAAGCTAGCCTTTTGTAATTTCCAACCTTGCCAAACGTCGAAGAGAGCGTCATTTGAAATGTGTGCGAGAGTAGAGCCCAAACACTGCCCTTCCTTCCCTCACGACCTGGGCTGCCTCGCGGCCGTCGGGAGATCCCTGGCAGGGCCTGGGCAGCCCAGGCACTTCCACACCTGCACACCTCGAGTGGCACTTTGCACAGCGCTTTCGAAGGGAGGGGGTTCTGTTCAGGCAGCGATAAGACACTGGAGCACAGTTTGGCAGCTCTAAAAAGCCCATCAGACTGAGAAAAGGCAGCTTTTATGTGAAATTGGGAAAAAACAGCCTGGCTGCAAGTCGCAGGGAGGACTTCGACCTCTTGAAGGAAGACAGGTGGAAGGTCACGAGGCCACGGGACCCTTGTTCTGTCCCCGCCCCTAGCATGTGCCTCCAGAAGCGTCTGTGGCACCAACAGTGAGGACCAGGGTGCCGGTCCTTCGCGATTGCCCGCAGCGGCAGACTCCTGCTGGAGGCCCGTCACTGGGACGTGGGTCTCAGGACACACAGGAGACGGATGGCCTCAGGTTCTAGGCAGTTCTTGGAAAAGTTGAGCTGACTGGGCAGATTGCACCAGAATGGAGAGCACGGAAAGCTGTTTGATTTGTTTGCAAACAAAAGGAAAGAAAGCAAGGTGGTTACGTGAGAAACCTGAGGACAGGCCCCGGAGAGCACTGACTGTGTCCTTCTCCGGACCCGGGGCTCGTGGACGCACACAGTCGCTGTGGGCATGTGGTCGGGCTGAGGCCCCTTTGGAAAAGTCCTCTGTGCTTGCTTTGGCTTCTTTCAGTGACTGGGTTGTCGAGGTCTGTCGGACATCTAGTTGTTTCCACTGCCGCATCAGCATCGAGAACGGGTGCGGCCGGGGGTGTGGGGCGGGTGGAGGCTCCCCGAGAGTGTACCCCACACCAGCCAGGGGTTCCAGGCACCTGGTGGCCCCCTCTGCTTCTGAGGGCTCCGTCCTCGGAGGGGGCCTTCACCCCGTTAGCAGTGGGGAGCGCCCACAGGAAAAGCCCAGGAGAGGGAGAGAGAGGTTCCTACAGCAAGGAGGCAGTGGTTGCGTCAGAAAAGATGCGAGCAAGACCCTTTTCTCCTCGTGTGGTTACTTGGAGCCTCGGAATGTTTGAGTCTCTCCCCCTGTTCCCATCCACCAGTATCTGTGCTGTTACAGGTGCGGGTGCAGCTCATAGGACTGACTGACGTTACCGGACACGCTTGTAACAGAGCCGGGGAGGAACTCAGGTGTCCTGGTGCCCACCCAGGACGTACGCATTCCCCTTTCCAACTGGGCCACACGCAGATTTCCGGTGTCTGGATGACCCCGGGACCAGGTGTAGAGCCTACGTGTCACCCAGAGCAGGTGGAGTGCTCAGGTGTCCCCGTGATGTCTGGGCCAGGAGTAGATCTCAGGTGCCCTGATGATATTCGGCCGAGGACGAGAGCTCCATCATCCCGATGCCACCTGGACCAGGAATACGACTCCTATGTCGTTATGGCCCCTTGGAAACCGATTAGAACTTGGGTGTCCAGCCGCTGCTCCTGGACCTTGAGTAGGCCCGGCGTGTCCCAGTTCCCATCTGGCCGTGCGTGGTTCTCAGGTCCCCGGTGACTCCCAGAAGCAGGTTCTGTGCGGAGCCCGATCTGGCCTCCGGTGCAGCACTGTCGGGATTGGCTGCCCAGCACACTCCCGCCACCCCACACACATGCACACACACACACACACACACACGCACACACATGCACCCGCACACGCTGACATGCACACGGGCGGATAACCAGTTCCTTTCCCGGCCCCTTGGCGGCCGTGCCCACCCTCAGGTGTTCCAGAAGGACGGGCACCCCGTGTGCTTCGACACGTCCAGCGAGGACGACTGTAACTGGATGATGCTGGTGCGGCCGGCGGCGGGGCCCGAGCACCAGAACCTGACCGCCTACCAGCACGGCGACGACGTCTACTTCACCACCTCCAGGGACATCCCCCCCGGCGCTGAGCTGCGCGTGTGGTACGCGGCCTTTTACGCCAAGAAGATGGACAAGCCCATGCTGAAGCAGGCCTGCTCCGGCGCCCACGGTACATGCCCCCCCCCCCCCCCCCCCCCCCCCCCCCCCCCCCCCCCCCCGCCCCGCGTCCGCCTCCCACCAGGCCTCGCTGTCGGGACCCGGGCCCCTGGCTGCCCACAGGCGCCTTGTGGTCGAGGGGGAGCCGTGCGGGCAGGGTGTGGGGAACAGAGGGGGCTGCTCTTGACCCCACCTGGTTGGGGCCCCTGTTCTGCTTGTCAGATGTCTGGGCCCGCCCCTCCAGCCACACACCGGCGGGTGGAACGTTCTCCCTGGGAGATCTGGGCGCTAGGGCACGAGGGGCGGAGATCATCCCCGCCGTCCTGCTAGCTGGGGCGACTGTCTCTGTTTGGGGCAGCGGAACGGAGCACAGAGAGGTTAGGGAACCTGCCTTGAGCCGCACTGTGGGAGGTGGAGTCAGGATTCAGACCCGGATCTGGCTCCGGGGCCGGTGCCGGCCTCCTCGCGGCAGCCTCCTCCTTGGGGTGTGTGCCCGTGTGTGAGTGCGCGCCCGCGTGTTCCAGGAAGGACCTGGCGAAGGTCGTGTGTGTGATTTGCCCAAATCCGGCATTCCCAAAGTGTGTACCCTGCTGACCCAGGGTACGGGGTGCCACTTCGTGAAGGGCGCCCGTGGAACGTCCGTCCGTCCCGCCCAGTAGCGAGTCCTCGCGGTGCAGCCTGAGACCACGCGAGGCCACCGCCAGTGCGGCACGTTTGGCCTGTGAGCTCAGGGGGTCATAGCCTCCCCTGAGCCTCCAAGGGCGGACGCACCTGTTGTTGCCACGGTTACTTGCTGGGGGGGAGAAACAAGCCTCTTTGCTTCTGACCCCCCACAGCACAGGATTCTGACAAAATGGTTTCCTGGTCACGAGCCCGTCGTGACACGAAGCAGCTGTGTAGAGTGAGAGTCTTCACATAAGTGAGGTTCTGGTCTGTGCCGTGTGGTTGAGGTTCCCCCCCTCCCCCCGGTGGAGCCCTTCTGGCCGTCCCTGTGAGGAGACGAGTCCGGGCGACTGCCCACACCAGGCACCGCAGACCGTCAGCAGCAGAAATGGGTCGCCTCTCAGCCCTGGAGCCTGAAGTCCAGGAGCAGGTGTTGGCAAGACTGGATCCTTCTAGAGGCTTCTCCCGGCTTCTGGTGCTGCTGGCGGCCCTTGGCGTTCCTCGGCTCGTCGATGCATCACCCTGGTCCCTGCCTGTGTCCTCACATGGACCTCTCTCCCCCGTGCCTCTGTGTTCTCTCTTATAGGGACACCGGTCGCTGGACTTAGGGTCTGCCCTGCTCCAGGGTGACCTCATCTGCCCTTAATTGCGCCTGCAGAGACCCTATCCAAAGCCTGCAGGAGCATGTGAATTTCGGAGGGCCACCCTTCCACCCACCACGGGCTGGGGGTGGTGGAGGGAGAGCCACTGAGGTTGTCCTCGCGGAAAGTCTGTGGGGGCCACTCGGCCAGATGGCCTGCACTCTGGCTCCGTTGGCAGTAAAAGGCTTGTCGCCTTCACAGAGATATTTACGGGGTGTTATGTCGATAGTGAAGGGGGCAGGGGGAACTTGGAGACACCCACAGCTTTTCACCCAGCTGCTCCTAAGCCGTCCGCTAGGATTTGCTGGAACCGGGTGCCTGGCCTGGCCCCAGGGAGGACTGAGGTGCCCGGCCGGGCTGGGCTTCGCTTCCGGGCACGGCGTGGCCGGGCCCATCGGTGCTGTGCAAGGTGGCCGGGGTCTTCCCGGGCTGGTTTTCTCGTGTTCAGGTTTCCTTACGGCCCTGTGCCCCTGGGCCAGCCAAGCCCGCACATCGGGGTTTGTTGTACCAGAGGCTGACCTTGTCAGTCCTGTCCTGCCTGATGTCTCACCCCTCACGAGTCTCCAGGTCAAAGTCCGAGCAAGGTGGCTGCCCTCCTGCCGGAGTTGCAGTGCCGTTTGCTTTTCCCCGCGGGAGAAGTCTCTCATCTGGAGCTGACATTGAGAAGGTGCAGTTGAATGAAATGAGCCCAACCAGACAGCTCCCTCCTCTTTTTGTCCCAGCCGCCCTCCCTGGGGAATCCTGAGTTGACTGTGGTCGTCCTCCGTGCGTTCCTTCTGAGAGCCCGGGACACGACTGTGATCATGTCAGCATCAGCTGGCGGGCACGGTCCCCCTAAAGGAGTATTTGATTCGGGCAAGCAGATGACCAACTCAGGCACTTGGAAATTCCAGAAATGCCTTTGATGGTTTTTCAGTCTTCGTTTTGGGAGGAATGACAAGCGGGTATTTCCTAGAAACGTCCTGAAAGTTCTTGAACGCTGTTAAGGGGTTGGTTAGTTGGGGTCCTTATTTCTTACACCTGTTGGACGACGACTTCGCTCAGGCAGCGCTGGGGGCTCCCCAGAGGACGCGTGACGTCTGCTGTTGTGCGTGGTGCCTGTGGTCGGTCGGTGACAGGGCCACCACTCAGGCCTCCCACCAGCCTCTTCCCCAGGAACCCCTCCTGGCACAACGGAGCCTCTAGAACCCTGCTCCGGTGCTGCCCGCCTTGAGTGCCTGGGGCCCCGGGTGGTCTCAGGTGCGAGTTCTGGACGCCTCACCTGGTTGAAGCCATATGTTGGGACCCCACCACTGCCCGATTCTTAGACTCTAGTGTGGGTGCCGAGACCTGTGGAGAGGGGCCTGGAACGTACAGGAAGCTGGGCCTCTGCGTGATTCTGATTGGCCAGGTCCGACAGGTAGGGAGAGGGCTTAACCTCTCCTCCCACCACAGAGGCTTCTGGTCTGCACACCCTTGAGACCACTGCAGTGCAGGGGAGGGAAGGGGCCTTTTGTGGCCATCACTGTACCTTGGGGCCAGTGGCAGTGGGGCCACGCAAGGTGAATGGGCCTGAGGGACCATGGTATCTTCTAGAAGAATCGTGCTGGGGGCCAGGGCACGAGGAGCTGTCTGCCCAGAAGTTATTCAGAATCTTTCTCCGTGAGCATCAGAACTGCTAAGACTCACCGGTTCCATTCTATGTCTTTCAGATTTGCTTCAAAATGTATCTGTTGTAGAAATCAGCCAATTTTGTAGACGGCACAGCCGTGGTCCAAACACAGCAAAGTCGGAGGAGCAGACACACTCTTTTTAAAAAACAAACAAACCAACTTTTACTATTTTTTCTTCCTGGTGGTACATTTTCTTTTCTCATTTTTTCCTTTCTTTTCTTTTCAATGTTTATTTATTTTTGAGACAGAGAGAGACAGCGCATGAGCAGGGGAGGGGCAGAGAGAGAGGGAGACACAGAATCCGAAGCAGGCTCCAGGCTCTGAGCTGTCAGCACAGAGCCCGACACGGGGCTCGAACTCACGAACCGTGAGATCATGACATGAGCCGAAGTCGGACGCTTCACTGACTGAGCCACTCAGGCGGCCCCTTTTCTCATTTTTTCTTGAGCTCGCAGTACGGTTGATTTCTTTTCTGTGCACCAACTGGGCCTGGGGACCGTTGACGGAGGCCCGGGAAGCATGTGGGTGTAAATGGGTGGGTGCGAGGGGCTCACGTCGACTCTTGTCACCGGATGTTGTCAGCAGATTTTTCAAAACTGCTCTTGTAATGAACAAGGTCGAGTATAAACACACTTAATCACATTTGGGGAACTCTCAAGTCACCATTTTAATGACCCTGGCATTTTTGCTGGCATCTTATGGTACGTGAGAAAAATCAGCACGGCTCACGTATGGTTTACCTACGTTCAAACAGCAGTTTTCGGTGCGCAGCTCAGAGTTTCGACAGAGGCGTGCAGTTGTGTGAGCCGTGCCACCGTTGAGATAGAGAGCATCCTTATCACCCCTGCGGCTCTGCGCTGGGGCCCTGGCCACCAGCAGGATGACCCTGCCCCTGCCCCTGTCTGTGTCTTCTGCTCCTCAGAAAGGCCCTGCGTTCTCACACAGGCGAGGTCCTACTGTGCGTGGCGTTCTGTTGCTTGCTTTTGTTTCCCTGTGGGCTTGTAACTCCCCAGGCCTCCTTCTTCTTCTTTTTTTAAATGTTTGTTCATTTTGGGGAGGACACAAGTAGGGGAGGGGCAGGGGGGGGGCGGAGTTTCCAAAGCGGGCTCCGCGCCCACAGGCTTGTGGCAGTGAGTCCCCAACGCGGGCATTGACCTCATGAACCGCGAGTGAGATCAGGACCTGAGCTGAAGCTGGACGCTCAACAAACTGAGCCACCCAGGAGCCCCCTGTCTTCTCTTTTTAATGTTTATTTATTTTGAGAGAGAGGGAGAGAGCGGGAGAGGGGCAGAAAGAGGGAGAGAGAGGATCCGAAGCAGGCTCTGCGCTGACAGCAGTGAGCCTGTCACGGGCTCGAACTCACGAACCACAAGATCATGACCTGAGCCAAAGTCAGACGCCTAACTGACTGAGCCACCCAGACGCCCCTTGTCTTTTTTTAAAAATGTTTATTTATTTTGAGAGAGAGAGAGTGCAGGAGAGGGACCGAGAGAGAGAGTACAGGGGAGGGACCGAGAGAGAGACAGAGAAAGAAAGAGGGAGAGAATCCCACGCAAGCTCTATGCCCAGCACAGAGCTGGACGCAGGGCTTGAACCCATGAACCGAGAGAGCATGACCTGAGCCGAGATCGAGAGTGGGACACCTAACGGACCGAGGCCCCAGGCGCCCCCCGCCCAGCCCCTCTCAAGCGTTTTCTCTATCGCTCGTCTGTGGCATATTCGTGGTATTTGTGGCCGTGAGGTGTCACTGTTGCCTCGATGCTTCTTTTTTGTTGGATATTTAAGTGACGGGCAATCAAGAGCTGCCTTCTGATTGTTGGCTGAGTTTTGTTCTTAAAAATTGTGATCTTTTAGGGCGAGTTTTTGGAAATCGAGTTCTTCCCCAGACGAGGGGACGGCGGCCGTGACTCGTTCTCCTAGTTAGTCCTGTTGATTATCAGCCAGGCGTGTTCTCGTGTCAGGTTCATTTGAATCCCCATCACGGGGGTGGGGACCGTCCCACTGGGGACGGCGGCTCACTGGGACCAGAAGAAAGGGCCTCGACCCCGGGTGCCCTTCCAGCTGACCCCTCGGCGTCCCTTCCTGAAGCCACCACATACCCGCGTGTCCTTTGCCTCCGTAGAGCCACGTGTGTTTGGGAGGGTGAGCAAGGAGCGGGAATTCAGCTGTGGCGCCCGTTCGTTCGTGATCTCGTCCTGCCCGTCTTCACTCGGGGGACTCACAGGCAGGAGGGAGAACAGAGGGGGCTGGCTGGCCCATCCCCACCCTGCTGCCCCAGCATCCGCCCTGGGGAGCTCGGGCCGTTTCAGCGTAACATTTTCCCTCCTTGTTACTTTAGGAGGACACACAGAATACACACTAGCGGTTGTAGCAGTGGCCTGCTGCGGTCTTTCGCTTTCGTTCTTCTTTGGAAGCTTGTTGCACGTTTTTGCTACGGAGAGAGGCGTGCGTTGTCCTGGGGCCGAATGCACGTGCAATGGCAGCTCTGGGTGATTTTTTCCAAGAACCCAGGAGTTTGCTGCACGCGTGGCCCTTGGGGTGACGCGATAGGTCGTGCGGTGCAGTGGCCGAGTGGCGCTGGTGGCGAGGGCTCGTGGCCCCAGACCAGCCCTGGCGGCTGCCCGATGGCACCACGAACGGAGGCTCGCTTAGAGCATCCCCTTCTTTGAGGTCCCACGGGAGCGTCAGTAATGTTTTTAAAAGGAGGCCCCAGTTCCCCTCTTCACAGGCAGGGCCTCCCCTGTGCCGTGAACCGTCCCCAGATTTCTTTGGCGTGTGAGGAAGAGGGACCACGGGGGCTGCTCGGTGGCCACCTGCCCTGGGTAGTAGCCGTTGAAATTCTAGTGCAAAGTAAACAAAACTAAACACTCGAATCCACGGGGGCAGTAGCCACACGTGGCCGGCACCCCAGACACGCCGTGATTTTAGAGCCCTGGTGTCATCACAGAAAGTTGTGTTGGCCGACCTCCAGCGGGAGGTGCGGGCCGGGGCCACAGTGACGGCCTGTTTTGGGCTCTGCCGTCTCTCGTGGGAGCCAGAAAGAGGTTGAGGAGTTCCGTTTAATCTGCAGGGTGCGTTTTTCTTTTTTTCCCCCTCGGTCTTGTAAGGGATGCGTGTGGTCCCACCGGTCTGGCTTCTCGGAGGAGGTCCTGCGTCTGTGACCCGTGACGGATCCCTCGTCGGGCCGCTCCGGCCCCCCCCTCTGTGCTCGGTTTCCTCCCCCGTGAAATGGGCACCCCCGTGGGGACCGAAGGCGTCCACGCACGCAGGGCTCCGGGAATGGCAGCTGGAACGCCGAACGCGCCGAGCCATGGTGGAGGGGGGTGTGCGGACAGGCCCGTCCCCTGCGGCCCTGGGCCCTGGGGGCGCGAGCTGCTGTGGGTCACCCTTGCCCCTGCTCTCTCGAAGCTGCAGGCAGCCCCGGAGGCGGCGCCACGGTGGAGCGGGAGCCCAGCCAGTGGGCGTGCAAGGTGTGTTCTTCCACCTTCCTGGAGCTGCAGCTCCTGAACGGTAAGCCCGGCGCGCGCGCCCCGGGGTGGGGCGACCACTGTGCTGGCACGTCCACGCCGTCCCTGTGCACACGTGGCGACGCGCGGCCGGCCGGATGTGAGCGGCCGCGTGGACCCCAGCCGCGTGCCCAGAGCCACACGCGTCAGCCCCCCAGGCCCTCCTCGCGGGGCCTCCTCCGCACCTGCTGTGACACGTAGCCTCGACCTCCCCGCTGCGCGCCTGGGGTCACTTGGGGTCTCTGTGTCATCCAGGCTTTCCAAGTGTCCCCAGCCAGGTGGGCTCATGGCTGCCTAGTTCCGCCGTGTGGCCCAGGTGCCAGGCCCTTCCTGTAGCACGCGTCACGTTACTTGCCGTGTTTGCTTTTTAATTTTCTTTCCCTCCCACGACCCAGCTCCTTGGGGGCACTCCCCCGGCACAAGTGGCCCTAAATACGGCACAGGGAAGTGACGACCGCTTTGCGCCGAAGGCCTGTGCTGAGCCCGTTGAGATCACAGCGGGGGGAATCGCCCCTGGCCCAGCCGTGGGCCCAGGCACCCTTGGCCCCTGGGCCGTCCGCCCCCTTGTGCCTGGTGGGCCGCCCCTCCCCCTCCCGGCTGCTGCCCCACCGTCCGGCCGGCCTGAGCCGTGCTTACCTCCGTGGTTAGGCCCTGTCTGTTCTTGAGCTCCGCAGCCACCCCTGCCTGCCTGTTCCCTGTGGTTTCGTCGCTCTCTCTTCTTGGGAGGTCTCGGGGGGCTTTGCTCAGTTGAGAGGAGAGCAAAAGGGTTTTTAAAGATCGTTTAGTTTGTCACGCGCGGAATTAGTTCCCTTCAGAGGCCGCGTTTTTGAGTAACTGTATCACGAATTCACCATATAAGTTAAAGAACGTAAGTGAGCGTAAGGAGGAAAGGGAACAGCCCTGCCTGGAATGTCACCATCCAGAGGCAGCCACGTTACCATGTCGGTGCACCCTTGCACAGCACTTGCTTGCACGGGCGTGTGCTCGCATGCCTGTGTGTTTCATAAAGCCGTGTGCGTGGGCGCGTGCTGAACTGGCCCTCTTTTTACCACCTAATTTGCTTTTTAAGTAGTAGTCATGTTTGGCGCAGTGAAAATGCTTTTTTTTGCGAGAGCAGTGGAAATAGTTAATTTGCCTATAAGAGGACACACGGTCAGCAAACGAAGTTAAAACCAGACAGACAGAACGGGGGGCAGGGTGGAGGAAGTGGGCACACCGCCGGCTGCCTCAGCGTCTGCGTGCATGTGCTCCCCTCTCCCGCAGAGCATCTGCTGGGTCACCTGGAACAAGCCAAAAGCCTTCCCCCGGCCGGCCAGCACGAAGCCGCTCCCGAGAAGGAAGCAGACGTGCCCCGGGGGGAGCCTCCTGCAGTGCCCAAGAGTGTCAGTGCCACCAAAGAGCAGAAGAAAAAGCCTCGAAGAGGGAGAAAACCCAAAGCATCAAAACCTGAGCAACCACTAGACATTATAGAAGGCAAGGAGCCAGCAGGTGAGGGCTGGGCCTAGGAAGGGGCGCCGGCAGGCGGGGGTGGCCCCGGGAGGGGGCGCCGGCAGGCGGGGGTGGCCCCGGGAGGGGGCGCTGGCAGGCGAGGGTGGCCCCGGGAGGGGGCGCCGGCAGGCGGGGGTGGCCCCGGGAGGGGGGAGCCGGCAGGCGGGAAAACTTAGGATAGACAGGTCACACAGAGGGGAACCTGGCCTTTCCCTTTCCCTCTAAATCAGTTCTGTTAGAGCACAATTCCCGTATAAACACGGTTACCACTGCAAAGTGTGCAGGTTGTGAATGTTGACAAGGGGCCCGCCTGTGTCACGAGTGCCCCGTCAGGACAGAGAACCTTACCATCTCCCAGACTTTCTTCCTTGTCTGCGTGACTTAGCCTTGTCCGTCCTGGGATTTCACGTGAATCCCTCTTTCTGTGCCCAGCGTCTTACATGCGGCGTGTGGAGTGAGACCCACCCACTAGGGTTTCTGGCGTGGGTTCACTGTGTGAAAGCCCGGCCGTCCACTCCCGTGTCGCCTGGGCCTGAGGCCTGCTCCCGGTCTCTGTGGTGGTATCCCCGGTTGAGTTTGGAGGGACTCTGACCCACTCTCTGGGGTGCGCAGGGCCTGCGCCCCCTCGGTCCTCTCATGACCTCTGCCAGCATGGCCTGGTGCCAGCAGACCCCTGGGGGGGTCTCACACGTAAGGACGAGCTGTGACGCTGGGGCTGGGTCCCCTCAGCTCCCCGCTGAGAGCTTTCCTTTGCTGTCTGGTAGAGCCCTGGTTTTCTTTCCTGAGAGCCAGAATGAAAAGGAATTCAGAGAGCAGCCTTCACCCAGTACGGGCTCACCGTCTTCTGTAGCCAGCTCTCGGTCCGTGTTCTCTTCGGAACCGAGAGATGGGCAGGCGGCTTCGACTTCCCCTGCGCATTGTCTCTGTCTCTCCCTAAACAGGTAGGGAAGACGAGAGGGGAGCTGAGAGCTCTAAGTGGTCCTTTCCCTCATTATTAGTTGCATTAGGAAGACGTGTAGCAGGTAAAGTGGCAGAAGCCACTGTGTTACCTTCCCGTCGTTCATTGTCCGGAGGTTCGGGCCAGGACACCTGTTACCATAATCATTTGGCCTTTGGCCCTCGTAGAACACGATGATCCGCTTTTGAACATACTCAGGGTGGCCGGTCTGGTTTTAAAAGTCAATGTTTCCGAATCTCCGTTAGCACTAAGTAAGTTGAAAGATCCCGTGACGTATCACGATGTTTTGTTTGGGGACTGAGATCGCAGCCTAACTGCTCTGCTTTTAGAAAAGATCACAAATTATAACTTCAGTTTCGAGCTGAGAGTAACGTCTTGCTCTTTCGAAACCGGTAGCTACGTGGATCCCGCCACGTTGCTAGTCTTCTTTCCTTTCTTCCTCCCGCGTGCGTCTCGCAACGCGTGTCTACGACGTGGGCCTGGCTGCGGTCCGCTCGGGTGCGTTTTCCTGGTTTGGCCGGGTCCCGTCCCCTGCCCCGGCGATGACACGGCTGTCGCGCCCCCTTCACACAGAGCAAGTGGCGGAGATCGTCACCGAGGTCCCTCCGGATGAGCCAGCGACGGCGGCACCGGACGAGCGGATCATGGAGCTGGTTCTGGGGAAGCTGGCCACCACCACCGGTGACGCCGCTTCAGTGCCAAAGTGAGTCCTGCTGAGGTTCCCGGGGCGGCCGTGTGGATGGCAGGTGCCCCCGGGCGGGGAGGCGCCCCTCCTGGGGGAAAGAAGTGGGTGTCCTTGGGGAGCGGCAGGATCCTTCCAGAACTCAGGAGCGTGATGCCACGTCCGCTGTGAAGACAGTTAAAAGCGGTTGTGTGTGTGTGTGTGGTGAGCTGTACGTCACGGACGGTTGACCATCTGAACCTCTCCTGGGTGCACAGTTCGGTGCCATTAAGTGCACCCGCGCTCGGTGCAGCCTCCAGCCGCGTCCGTCTCTGGAACTTTCCATCCTCCCGGACTGAAACTCTGTCCTCATGGAACGCTAAGTCCCCATGTCCCTCTCCCCCCACCCCGGCACCCCGTCCCATCCCTGTCTCCATGAAGACGGACGTACCTTGTGTGAGGTCCCGGCCTGGGCGCTGGCATGCGATGCCGGCCCTTTTGTGACGGGCCCGTGGCGCTCCGCATGCCGTGCCCGAGGCTCATCCAGCAGGTGTCAGATTGTCCTTCCATCTCGAGGCTGGCATCGCATCCCATAGATAGATTCCTCCATCAGTGGGCACCTGGGCTCCTCCCACCGGTCGGCTGTTGGGAACAGTGCTGCTGTCACAGAAGTTTCTGTACATGTAACACCTTGTTTTTCCTCCCCTCCCCTCCCCTCCCCTTTCCTTTTTTTTCATGAACAAGGAAAATATTTTGTATTCTAGTTGTCATTCCTGGATAAATCTTTCCTCTGACGTGGAATAAGCTGATGCTGATTTCTTTTCGGGCTTTTTTGGAGTGCCTCTTAACGTTCTCACGATGTGCCTGGCCCCGTTTGATCCCGGAGCCCGTGTAGACCGGGGCCGGCGTGCTGTCGGAAACGGGGTCACCTGTTCGTTAACCTACCCTGTCTGACTGCCCAGAGGACTTCTGTGGCTTGCCGTCAGAAAGACGTTTAAAAGGGAGAAGAAATTTTTAAAAAACAGGGTCAGGGAAAGTACAAAACAGAGCAGAGGCCAAGCCAGGCGAGAGAAACGGGGATCTTCCCGGGGCATCATCTGAGAGCTTCCCGGTGGCCAGAGTGAAAATGCAGTCAGGAGCGTGGCCATGCTCATGGACGATCAAGCTGTGTCTCCCGTGCAGATTCCCCTGACGCCGGGGTGGTGCCCGAGTGCCTTCCCTCCTTCCTCGCGGCGAGCTAGGAAGGTTTGGAAGAGCCCTTCCCGAGATGGCGGTGACCTCGCGCTTCCTCCCCAACGACGCAGTGTGCCCCCTGTCTCACCAGGTGTCTGTCTGACCTGGCAGGTTCCCGCATCATCCGAGCACCGCCATCACCCTCAAGAGGAGTCTCATTCTGTCGAGCCGGCACGGCATCCGCAGGAAGCTCGTCAGGCAGCTGGGGGAGCACAGGCGGGTGTACCAGTGCAGCGTCTGCAGCAAGATCTTCCAGAACAGCAGCAACCTGAGCAGGCACGTGCGCTCGCACGGTGAGTCCCCGCGGGACGCCCGCCTCGGGGCGGGGACCGGGCTGCCCAGGCCGGGGGAGAGGTGGCCGCGGACCTGGTTGGGGGGGGG